GTGCTGCCTTCCCCTCCAGGACCTCCCTGGCCCAGTGGGTGGGACTCAGGGCAGCAGGACAGGGCAGGGCCAGGCAAGGAAGCGCCTTGGCTGCTTCAGGCCCCACACCACCTTGGCAAAATGCTCCCTGCCCTACTGGCAGCAGCGAGGGGGACAACTCGACACTGCTGCTCCCCATGCTGCTGGGCAGGCAGGCAGGCTGTGCCTTGTCAGAGCAGCACAGGGCTCATAGCAGCAAGGAGCTTCCCTGCCGGGACCTGCTCTGCCCTGCTGCACCAGGTCCTGCCCACAAGGCCTCAGAGGCCCTGGGGGGATGGCAGCAGGGCAGAGAGCCCAAGCCTGCAGTAGGCAGCCCATTCCTGCACAGATCTTGGGGGGCACGTGCTGCCTCTGGCCCCCTCCCTGGATTGCATGTAGCAGCAGGGAGCCAGCCACCCCCTGGGGCCCTGTAGCACTGTTCCATTCCCTCCCAGGGGCCTGCGGCTGCGCAGGGCCTTGGGCCTAAGCCCGACATACCACCCAAGCTGGGCAGTGCCCCCAACCCCAGCTCTGCCCAAACGCCTTCCTCCCTGTGGGAACCTTTCCATACCCCCCTGCCCAGAGTTACCTATGGAAGCTGCTCTCCAAGCTGCCTAGTGTCCACATGCATATACATGCATGGTGTCCCCTACCTGACCGCCCTCCTCCCACTTCCCCCAGCCCCTTGCAGGCTGGAACTCTGCCAGCCTGCAGGGAGCTCTTTGCAAAACAGGAAAATCCACACGTTTCTCCATTAAAATGAAAAATCCACGTTTTTCCTCAGTTAAAAAGGGACAGCCTGTGTTTTCCCCACCCCCATGGGAAACAGAAAACGCGGGTCCCTAATTAATCACTACTGTTCCTCCTGCCATTCCTTCATTGTTTCTTTGTGCTCCCCTGGCTGTATCCAGCTGATGTCTCCTGTGTTATACTTGCATCATTTTTATTTTCTGTGCTAGTACAGCACCTAGCACAAAGCACTTCCAGTCTATAATGAGGAATAGTAGGAGCTATGACAACATAAATACCAAAGGTTGTTTTTTTTAAGCTTTCTTTAGTGTTTTCAGTTGGTTTCCATACCAACACTAGCAGTCTGCATTTCCTATGCAAATGCCATTGACCCATTGTGTTTATTTTTCTCCCACTTATATTTCTTTGGAGATGACAAAAGCAACTGACTGATCACGCTGACTACCCTCCTTGGAGCTATGCGATTTTCCATACAATTCCACGAATGCACCTCAGGTCTCAACTTAGAGGATCCCCTGGTAATCCAGGCACAGCTCTTGAACAAACACTGTGCACACTGCAGAACAATCAACGTGGACGACAAAACAGCCCCTAGGGATCAGACCAACCTTGTGGCTTTAGAATCACTGGGAATCTAGCTTAGCAAGTTAATACATGTCTCCAGCCGTGAAAGGCTGGTGTGTATTAACTCTTATTTTAAAGACCTAGTCTCCAATTCTCCTTTACTGTGTGATCACACACTTCCCTCAATATACCTCCTACTGTATAACGAGAACATATTCTCTGCATCCATTTTACCTACAATGACTTGAAGAAATAGCCTTAAGAAGGTTATTCCCAGGAACTGTAACCGCCCCCTCAGAATAGCAGGTTGTTGAGTTAGTGCTGATGAGTCAGACGGGCTTTTTAATTCTGTTCTAAAAGGAATCACCACAACAGTAGAGAAGGGGGAGAGGGAAAATAAAAAGGGGAATCGAGTGGAAAAGGCTTCCACCGTCTGATGATTCATGAACCATCAGCATGACTCACCCAGCATTACTCTGCCGTTAAAACATGGAGGCTAGGCTGATTAGTCACAGTAATGAATTTTTCAAGAAAGGATTCTCCCCTATAAATAATGATGACTTTGTCTGGATAACATTTGCGTGACTCACCTTTCCAGCATGCCGGGCAGCACCAAGCGTGTCATCTGCAAAAAAGAAAAGAAAACATTCATATGGTGGAGGATGCAGACACCATACAAACAAGTACAGAGGGAGAGAAGCCTCTCTCCTCCTAGAAACACCTGTTGTACCCCACTCCACCCCAACCATACCTAGGGGAACTGAAGACCAGACTCTGTGTAGGTAGTTGTTTATTTTTATTCTACCTATGTATCTTGGCTCTGTCAAGTAGGATGTGCAGCAATTCTGGTGCATTCATTTTTTCTGGTATCATCAGTTCAGTAAGAACAAGGTATTTTCCAATTCTTAGTTCTCCTCATCAGAGGCTTTCAAAATGCTTTACAAAGGTCACACTGCCAGGATGCCAAGGAGAAATTATGATTTGCTTTTACATATGGCCACCCTCTGATACACTGAAAACAGAATCAACCAACAGGAGAGTTCAGACTAGAGTCTAGCAGTCTTAGGTTGTAATCCCACATTCTATCCATTTTTATCAATTTTTCCCCCCTATCAAAAATGTCTTTGGATTATGGTGACTGGCAAGAGCACTGAACGGAGCTAACTAGTGCAGGTAAGTACTATGCCAGCTTCGATAGCACTGTGCATGTACAGTGCTTCTGAGATGCACGCCCCATTTACAGAATATGTCCTCTTTGAAAGCGGGTATGCCCCACCATATAAACAGAAAAAAATATGACTAGTAGGAAGCAGGTACAGGTCAATTTTCAGCAGCGTCTGAGTGGTCAACAGAAGGCAGCAGTTGCTGCCTCCTGTGGGCGGCAGCTGGGGCTCAGGCACTGCTGTAAATGGATCTGCTCGGGCTTGGGCGCTCACTCTTTGCCCTCTATGAGCAAAGTCTTCCAGTATAAGAATGAGTAAATTATTGCTACTCGTGTTCACATGTAGAACCCGAAGTTTGCTGCTCCAATTATGAAACTTTCAGAATAGTTCTAGTCTTTTTAAAAGCTTGTCCAGCAACAGAACGCAAACATTAAATCACTTGTTGAAAGTATTCAGGATCCTGCAACAAAAAACACTTTTCCTGGGAATGCTGCCTTTTCACACTGAAAACAACCCAACTTCATACAGACTATCCCAGTGCCCTCAGATGACCTCAAGCACAACCTTTTCCAAATACGAGATACAACAAAATGTAAAAAACCAAAACAAAAACCAACTCTGAAAACCTCTTAGAGCCTGGAGAACCAATTTTAGAATTAACGGTGAAGTTGTGGACAAATTTTTGCCAGAGCAGCTATTAAGAAGAAAATAAACCAGCCATTGCACCAAATATCTAATTATAATAGGAAGTAGGTAAAACCATTTACTATCTGGAGACTTTGGAGATAATGAAATTTTGAAACAGGTATTCGGGTCAGATATCATCCCTGAACCAAGCATCAGTAATATTCCATCCCAACTGTCCCCAGTAATAAAAGTCCTCTAATCAGTCTTTTGTGCCAAAACTAAAATAATAAATTGCTAGCAATTTTCATATCCTTGCAACATAAGTTACACTTGTGGTCCAAAAAGCCTTCTGGAGGGCTAATATCACTACAAGTGATGCCAAAATACAACACTTCCTACTGAATCCAATTTTTCTTGATCATTTTATAAATGCAGTCTTTGCAGAGTGGTGTGGGCAGGGAGTGGAGAAACTAGCATAGCTGAGTTATGCAAGTTTAGAAGCACAAAGGAATATTGTTCTAACATTTTTAAAAAACTTTTCATATCATAACATGAGCTCTCATTTTGTAGTGGGTTTCAGATTTTTTGCTCTCTTAAAGGATATTCGTATCTCTCCAAAGAGAAGGAAGAAAAGAAAAACATTACAGCAGACATTTTCACTTGGTCACATTCATATAAAGCCCTTGTAGTCTCCTGATCTGGCATAGGCAAAAACATCAACTGTCAATAGCCCTCTCTGATTCCATTCAAGCAGTACATTTACAGGGTGGATAGGAATCTACCCATCTCTAAAAGCAGCAGAGGGAAATAGGTTGGGTCCAAGCACTCCATACAATCTTGCCTACTGCAGGTGTATGCGCATGTCTCTGACAAAGTCCTCCAGACTGTAGCTTTGGCAAAATGGCCGGAAGCTGCCAGAGGCCTGGATCAGCCATCTTTGGGGCACACTCCTCCTAGAACTCACAGGTTAAACTTTAATACTTTATTGCACCATTCTTTCCTTTTGGAGAAGTCTTGCTTCCCTAAACCACCCTGACTTTGCTGCATTCCCACAGAAAATGGCAACAAACAACAACCTTAAGTGTAACATAATTTCATTCCATTTCAGGAGTGACTGCTGGGTTCAGGGAGAACCAGTTAACGCTTATACATCCCAAGTAAACACAGCAGTCCTCAAATTTAACTGAAATGTAAAGCGACAGATTGCACTGAGTCACTCAAGAAAAACGCTGATGTTACTGTCTAGCATATGGAAACCTAAACTACAGCCTCAGCAGCAAACCCAGACTCATTCCTGCCAAAGAAAATAATGTATAACATGCTGTAGACCAGCGTTTCTCAACCTGTGAGTCGCAACCCAAGAATGTGTCGGAAGAAAATATGAAAAGGTTGCAAACAAACTTTAAAAATGGATTCTCCTTTAGAGCAGAAAAACGTGGGAAACTGGCTTTTCCCTTGCAGGCTGGCAGGGCTCCAGCCTGCGAAGGGCTACTTGGGGCTCCCATGCCCCTACCCCCCGCCTCCCATACCCACCCTGACCCACACACTGAGGGTCTGGATGTGAAGGATAGTGGGTCAGGAGTGAGGGGCACTGGGTTGGAACTGGCCATCTATGTTTATAAATGGGTCCTGGTACAAAAAAAAAAGTTGAGAACTACTGCTATAAACCAATATTTTACAGCTCTGAAATGATGCATCTGAAGTATTATTTCAAATGTTGTCTTTCTTTAAAACTGCAGCCTGTTTCTACTACTGTAGAAGAAATCAAAACCATAGCAAAGAAGGGGTAGAATTGTAAAGTGTATTGACTTTGCTCAATAAGATTAAAATCTTGCCTTCAGACATGCAACTTGCTGCTCCTGTTGACTTTAACCCTGAACTGGATGTATGCTCTTCTGTTGGGCACCTTGGCTCAAACTATTTTATAACTAAAATACCCTCATGGTGAGGACCTAAAACCCAGCCTTCCTACTTCTTTCATAAGTGCTCTGAAATATAGTCTACTGAGCAAAACATGGGCATGCCACCACTTTAACTCAATGCAAAGACTGCATGAGCTAGGTTTGCTTAAGTGTACCTCTCTAGTGACTTTGGAGTTTAGCACGTCTCAGATTCACTATGAATTGCATGTACAGCTTCAGGTACTGTCAGGTGCTAAAGTGCTCCAGATGGATTTCTTCTGAAGATCCAGAGAAAGCCTTGTGTAAACACTTCAGGAACTTTACAGGCCAAAACATAGATGCCTAACATTTTTAGGTGCTAAACACATTTTTCACTACAAAATTGCAGTTTGTAACTTGGACACCTAAATTCTCCCAACATTGCATTCAGGCTCTAACACCACCACTTCAATTCTGGTTCTAAGTCTTTACCATTCAAAAGTGATGTAGAGTAACTAATTGCAACCATATGCATTATATAGTGTAAATTACATAACTGCTAGTTACCACTGAAACGGCAAGCTTAATAGAGAAACAGGTTTCTGCAAGTCAATATTCAAATTGCACAAAGAAATTATAAAACCAGTGACAGTTATACCATATGATTAGGGACTGAGTATAAGTACCCAGTGTGCAAATATAGCAACCTTCATAAAGCATCCAATTTTTAAGAATGTAAGAACTTAAGAAGTGGCACAGAGTCAGACCAATGGTTCATCTAGCCCAGTATCCTGTCTCTGACAGTGGCAAAATGGATGCCATACAGGTAGAGCACTGAATGGGATCTCTCTACAGTAATCTATCCTCTATTTAATACCCTCCCTGGAATCCTTCATTTATTGGGTTAGAGATGTCAGGAAACACGTCCAACCATTCTGTTCAACAGCCATGATAAATAGATCTATCATCCATGAATTTATCCAGTTCCTTCTTTGAATGTGGGTATCTTATCTGCCTCCACTACCTCCTATGGCAATGAATTCCATAAGTTAATTACACATTGTGTAAACAAGTACTTCAGTACTTTTTAATTAGTTTTAAACCTGTCACCTACCAATTGCAGTAGGTGACCTTTAGTTCTAATATTCTGGGACTTGGCAAACAACAGTTCCCTGTTCACTTGGTCCACATGTTTCAGCATTTTATAGACCTGTCATATGCCCCCTCAGTCATCTTCTTTCCAGACTGAAGAGTCTTGGCCTTTTTAGTCTCTCCTGGTATAGCAACTGCTCCATGCCCCTGATCATTTTGGTCACCCTTCTCTGTACCTTTTCTAATTCTTCTACATTCTTTTTGACATGCAGAGACCAGAACTGCACACAGTATGCAAGATACAGGAGCATCTCAGATTTGTATAATGGCATGATGTTCTCCATTTCGTTTTCTATTCCCTTCTTAATGATGCCAAACATTTTATTGGATTTTTTGGTCACCACTGCACACTGAGCTGATGTTTTTAGAGAACAAACTACAATGACTCCAAGGTCTCTTTCCTGAATCATACCAGCTAGTTCAGAACCTAGTATTCTGTACATTTATTTGAGGTTATTTTCTCTCTTGCACTTGTTGACACTAAAATTTTACTATTTTTTTGCCCACTCACTTAGCTTGGCAAGATCTTTCTGCAACTTGTCTCCATCACTCTATTTGAAGTAGACTATTAAAATACAGACAGGTGGAAGACAGTGATAATAGATCTACATCAGAAAATGCTGTTTTTGGCAACACAATTTCTTTTTCAAAAGTAATTTTGGCTATGTTTCCCCAAAAAAAAAAACAAGTTCTCATTTCTAAAAACTTTGAAAAATTATTTGAAAAAAGAAAAAAGGGAATGCAATTTTGTATGTTCTTCATGTCTGTAATTACTCTGACATTTCATGATGCATCCTTAATAG